AGTCTCCTTTTCCACTACCCGCTTCTTTGTCAAAATATCCTTGAGGAACTTCGCATATGAGGGCATTTGAAGAATTGCCTCATGGAAGGGCATTGTGATCTCCATCTTCTTAAGCATTTCCGCAAACCTCCTGAACTGGGTGTCCTCATTAAATTTCTTTAAACGAGAAAGAAAAGGTATCGGGGGTACCTTTGGGGGAGGCGGGATGTAGGCTGGCTCTTTCTCTTGCTCTTGTATCTTAGGGGTGTCTTCCTCTACCGCCTTGCCTTTTTCCTCTCTTGTAAGCCTTGGAGGCGCTACTTTCTCAACCATCGGGGGTGTAATCTCCGGAAGTTGTTTTCCGCTCCTTAGCTTGATTGCATTGATATGCTCACAGGGGTTCACCTCGTTCTTTCCGGGAAGCATTCCTTGCTGTCTTGATGAGGAGGAAGATGCAAGTTGGGCCACTTGAGTGTCCAAGATCTTCAAGTGAGCTTGTACTCCTTCCAATTGCTTCTTGAATGCAACTTGCTCATTTTCAATGCCCCCAATGGATACTCCTTGTGATTTTTGACCTTGGAGGATTTGAAATAACATATCCTTGATGTCCGAGTCTTGGTCCTTGGGTTGCACTTGTTGTGGTCTATAGTTGGAATTCCCTTGATAACCTTGACTTCCTTGACCTTGTTGTTGATACTTTGGTTGAAAACCCGGAGGTCCTTAGTTGTTCCGTTGGAAGGCGGATTGAGGATTTAACGCATTCGACGTGTTCTTGTAGGAGAAATTGGGATGATTTCTCAATCCCGGGTTGTATAGGTTGGATGGATGAGTGTATTGGTTTGGGCCGACATAGTTGGCTTCTTCCGCTTCTTGATCAACCATGTACATACCCGGTTGAACTTGTGCTAAATTGGGAACCTCCACAGCAGCTACTTGTTTGGCATTTGCGAGTTGGACCTTTATCTCCACAAGGTCGGCTAGCACCACCTTAAGAGCTGCGTTCTCTCCCACATCACCTTTTACTGAGCTTCTCCTACTGAACTCGTTGGACGTATGGCTACGTCCCTTGACCAGTTTTGCAATTGTCGCCTCTAGTTCTTGGAACGGGATGTCATATATGTCACCTCCACATGCTGCATCAATCCAAGACGGAGTATCATCCTTCAGCCCATGGATAAAGATGGATAGAAGGTAGTCTCTTTCCATTCCATGGTGAGGGCACATTCTTTGATATTTCTTGAAGCATTCCCATGCATCATGGAGATTCTCCCCATCTTCTTGCACAAAAGCATTAATCTGATTCCTCGCATGTTGAGTCTTGGTAGGGGAGTAGTATTGCATAAGGAATTGTTCTTCCATCTCACCCCATGTCGAGATAGAGTTTGGCTCAAGAGTGTAGAGCCAATCTCTAGCTCTCTCCGTAAGCGAGTAGGGAAGAGTCTGAAGGAACACATCTTCAAGAGTAATCCCCGATCCCTTCTTGATTGCCTTACAGTTCATCTTGAAGTTCGTAAGGTGAGCATTCGGGTCCTCGTTTGGTCTCCCACGGAAACTCATGTTGTTGAGCATTTGGATGCATTGCGGTAGGAGTTCAAGCTCTTCTAGTGGTCCCCGATTGATGCATGATAGTAGCTGAGTGTGCTTCGGTTGTATGTGCGTTCGAAGTTTTCTAGGGGCTGCTTGGGCTGGACCTCTTTGGGCATTGGCCCATCTTAACAACTCTTCGGCTTTTTCGGGTTGTTCTCTTCGTGCGTTGTTTTCTTTCAGCATTTCTTCGGTCATTCCCCACTGTCTTTGCTGTCTCCGAGCGAAGCGTAGACAACAAACCAAAGAATCCAAGCAATGGTGATCTAGCAAAAATCTAGACTAACACGAAAACGTCTAGTCCCCGGCAACGGCGCCAAAAACTTTATGCGCACGCACCGAGTCTTATATTTAGTACCCGATCTGTACCACTATCCGCAAGTATACGGTAGTTGTAGTACCAGGGTCGAACACGAGGACTAGTATGTTAGTCTATCTCTAAGCTAGATTAGGTGGTCAAGTAAAAATATGGTTTGTGGTAAGTATCGGAATACGAGAAAGCGATAAAAATTAACGGTTTGTAAAACGATGGTTTGAAGCGTTGTAGGTTTGGGATCCCTCAAGAATCCCATGGACGGTTAGTGATGCTACAATTCCTATGGGTTTATTTTCCAATTGGGGGTTTCAAGCACTTCCTCTAGAGTTTGTCTCTCCCGAGCTTAAACTCACTACCTAGGGAATCGATTCACCCATTTCCCAATGATCCAAATAATTTCTAGATGCATTAATGTACCCCATCATGAACCCTAAGCAAGCTAAGCCATCTCCCAATGTGAATAACTCACTCATTTGACATTTGGTTCCAAACATCATTCCCATATCCCTATGATCAATGTGTTCTACAATCATATCAATTCGGGTTTCAACCAAATCAATAGCATTAAGCACAAAACATCAAACACATGGAAGAAACTCAAAGACATCATAGATTAAGCATAGGTATCCATACAAAAGTGGGGATCCCTCACCCACAACAAAGTCACTACTCCATAACTAGGGTTTCAAAACAAAAAGCAAAATGAAGAAACATGAAAAAGGAGAAGAAATGTTCAAGATGGTCTTCAATGGTGATCTTCTTCTTCTCCTAGCCTCCTTGATCTCCAAAATCCCTCTTTCCTCTCTTCCAAGTCAAGTCTCTCTCCGAAGTGTGTAGCCCCCCTTCTCTCTCCTCAAACTCCCCTTTTTGTCAAAGTCCAAAATTAGGTTTTCTCCTCAAAACACGGGCTTTTCCTTTTTGGGCCGATTTTGATTTCAGGCGGTCGCTCATTTTTCGGGCGGGTCGCTCATTTTCCTCTGACGCGCGAAAAAGCAAGCGACCGCTCATAAAATGAGCGACCGCTCACAAAACGAGCGGGTCGCTCATCAACCGGAATCATCACTGGCGTTCATAAGATCACGAACAAACTCTATTCGAGATAGGTAGTCATAGTGTCTTGCTAGAGACCGCCTATGACTTGTATATCCGGAATAGAGATTTCGTGTTATACTGCTATATCGAATGAGCCTACAGGATCACACACACAGGGAAGGACAAAACGCACGAGAAAACGACGGAAAAACCAAGACGGAAGGGTCTGGAACGGACGGACCAGAAGTCCGGAACAGACGGTCCGCCAGGTCCTTCTGCATAGCCGGAACAGATGGTCCACGTGTATTTCTGGACCGTCCGTTCCAGGCTTCGTGTTTTTCCAAAATTAAACCGAAATTAGGGTTGAATCACTTTATAAGAAGGAGATTAAAAACTCTAATATAGGTGGCCGACTTTAGAACACTTTTGACAGGCTTTTGGTGAGATCTAAGAGGTTCAAGAGTGTGATCGAAGTCCTAGTTTTCTCGAAGCATAAAACCGAATAGCAGAAAAGTTCCAACCGTTGGAATCAATCCCGAGGTGTGGATAGGTGTAGACGGCGAGGTATTCTTCCTCCCTTTCGTGATCAGACGAGTTCTTCAATTGATACAGGTCCCGGATCGATTGAAGTAAGCGTTCTAGCGTTTCTACGATTCATAGAAGCATGGTTCTAGGGTTTCATAAATTTTTATTTTACATCCGCTGTGCAAACCCTAGAATCGATCTCTTAGGAATAGGATTCGCTCAAGAGATCCCAGGAAATCCCAACAGTGGTACCAGAGTCCGGTTGCTCTGTTTTGATTTCGTAGAACCCAATAACGCAGTTTTAAGGATTTGAATTGTTTCGTAGAACCCAGGGTGGCGGACTGCACTGATCAGAACGGAAGGTCCGCACTGGACCCTCCGTTCCGTCTGCTGCGGACCGTCCGTTCCGGCTTGTCTCGGAGTGGAATGTCCGTTCTGACTTATGAAGTTGAGAATGACCGTTCTGCCAAGCCTGGAACGTCCGTTCTACATCCAGAACGGACGGTCCGAGGTACAGATTCCGAAATTTTTCGTTTTCTAGGTCCGATTACGCAATCGTTGCTTAATCTGACCAACTGTAACTCAAATAGACATGATTCATTCTTTTGGATGGTCCATAGTGAATGAATGCATGTAACTTAATCAAGATATAGGATATGTTTGATTGAGTGGGAGCTCCGGGATTAGAATACATAATCGAATGGATTGTCTATTCGGATTATGTTGATCGTTGCACAAAAACCGGTTAGATCTAGGAGCTCTACGAGTAAAGCACTTGTCAAGGCCTCGATCGTACGTGTCATGGGCCATGCCAAAGCCGGGTGTGCCATATTATCTTGCTGAGGCAAGATGGAGAAATGGTGGTTCTCATAGCTTGAAAGTAGATGCTTGATTTAAGTGTGGTTTCGAAAATCCCTTATTTATGTAATGCTAAGCGCGAACATTCTCCGTTTGAAGTCGTTTATGGCTTCAACCCCTTGACCCTGCTGGATCTATCACCGATCCCTACTCAAGAAATGATCATCCTTGATGGGGAGAAGAAGGCTGAAGTTGTCCAGAATTTACATGCCAAAGTTCGAGACAACATTGCAAGAAAGACTGAACAATACATGCGGCAAGCCAACAAAGGACGCAAGAAGGTGTCATTCGAAGTCGGGGATTGGGTGTGGCTGCACCTAAGACCTGAAAGGTTCCCCAACAAGAGGAGCTCAAAGCTAGCACCAAGAGGAGATGGACCATTCCGTATCTTGGAGAAGATCAATGACAATGCCTACCGCTTGGAGTTGCCCGGTGAGTATAATGTATCTTCTTCTTTCAATGTGGCTGACCTACTTCCGTTTGATGCAGGAGATCTTGTTTCGAGGTCGAAACCTTTGCAACGGGGAGGGAATGATGAGGTCATCGGTCTAGATGCAGATGAGGAGCAGCTGAATACGGATGAAACACAAGAAGGAGCTTCGGATGCACTTGGCAAGGAGAGAGAAGTTGCTGAGCTTGCCATGCCTACACTTCCGGATCCACCTGTTCGTAGATCATTGGTTGATGGAGATGTCGGATGACTTGGTTGACCCCGCAACTATCATTCCAAGCCACCCGAAGAAGCTTCTCGGCCAAGGGACAAATGTTTGGGCAATTTTGTTGCCCACCACCTGATTTGTTGACAAACATCTGAAGGTTGAGGCAGCAAGACACTTGAAATTCGCTGCTAAACACTTGAGGACCGATGCCAAGTCACCAATCCAAGAGAAAACGCCCAAGCTTCATAGGAGGAAAGTGAGATCATGTGTTAAGTCCCTTAGCTCCTGTTTGGTCGAGAAATGTGAGGCCTCTAGGAAGGTTTCGAAGTCTAGACAAGAGCTGAGAATCTGCACATGAATCTTTCCTTTTCCTCCTTTGACAGATTTTCCTTTCTTTCAAAGAAGAAACTTTCCTTTTCTTGCTTCAATCAACTAGCCGTTAGAATCTCTTATGTTTGTCATGTTTCCTTTTGTTGTTTTGGTTCTTTTCCTTTATATTTGGTTGTATTTTCGAGCTGAACACATCAGATTTTAAGAACTTTTCTGCATTATTTTCTTTAGCTTTGGTGTGTCCAATTTCACTAATATCTTTGCTTGGTGTGTCCGAGCATTCCTTGGTCTGTCCGAGGATATTCCTATCACTTCCTTAGCCCATTCACGTCACTCCTAGTTTTAGAAGTAAAGATCAAGTGCCTTAGAGCGAGAGACTAACTTCTGAAATCTTTCCGCCGTTTACAATCGAGAATCACCGCCAAACTTGTGTTCTTAAGCCCGAGTGTGTATCATCAGGTCTGAGGATCCAAAGTGAACCATCAAGTGAGATTCAAGTCATGGACAAAATCTAATCGACAATCTCACGCGAGTCATCCAGTCACTTGTTCCAAAAAGTACTCATGACCGTGATCCGTATCCAATACACATGATCATCACTATAATCATCCATCACGCTTAATTCATCATTGCTACCAATCTCGAAGCTCCCACTCAATCAAGCATATCTAATATCTCGATTAAGTTACATGCATTCATTCACTATGGACCATCCATAAGAATAAATCATGTCTATTTGAGTCACAGTTGATCAGATTAAGCAACGATTGCACAATCGGATCAGAAAACGAAACATTTCGGAATCTGGATCTCGTACCGTCCGTTCTGGATGCAGAACGGACGGTCTACGTATGAGAACGGACGGACCACGTGATTCTGCAGACCGGACGGGCCCGCACCC